AGTGCACTAAGGTGGGCGGAATTTGTCAGAAGGGAGTGTAGAAAGGTGCGGTCCTGTTTCATACCACTGCTGTCTTGTGTGGTGCACGCGAATGCGTGCCCAGCCAATATGGTATACATATTTATTATCTGTATTGAAAAGCAAAGTTGGAAGTGAATATCCAAGCAGGCAATGAACTGCCTGAGTTATTTCTTCATTTATTTGCAGAGCTAGTGCTAAGGCTCGATCTACGTAAAGGAGGTTCTGGTGGTCCTAAAGATTCTAAATACGTGAATGCACTGACAGGCTTGCGGGGTGAAGCCATTTTTAAGTGGATTGATGGTTCTCCAACTGACTTCGCTTCATCGACTGTAAAGATGGAGAGGACGTGTTTCGATGTGAGTTATTTTTTGTTTGACGCTTACTTGGTTCGCTGGTGTTGTTCTAATGGCTCTGTACGTTTCACGAAAGGCTCCTCTGTAATGATAAGGAAGTTGATCGAAGAAATCATTTTCACCTGGGAAGCCGGTCAAACTTTTTCATTCATCTCAGAACGACCCACAGCTTCTCGCCGCAGTCTCCCATCGGCTGCTGCTACACCTCTAGTGCCCACCTTGAGGAATGCGTCATCCTCCCCCTCAACAAAAGTGGTTTCAGTCGTAATGGTCCACGATCTGCTGAGTGCCTCGGTGAGCGCGATCGCGCACCATTTTCCCCTGAAAAAATCACCTGATTTCATCGGTGTTCAAGGCAGATTTTGGGCTCAGAAACCCTTACCATGACTAGAAGGGCTGGTACGTAAGTGCAAAGCTAGCGCCACCTTTCTACATCGAAACGCGTCACTAGGACCCTAGGCGCCATGGACTTCTAACAGACTCCACCAAACTTAACATGGTCCGCCCACCGTTCGATATCTTGTCTGCGTCGCCACGTTGATCTGCTATGCTCTCTCTTCTCGGACTTCTCTACCACTCTCCGCGCTCACATTATCTCTCATCTCCCTGCCTGTCTTTTGAACTTCTCCACAGCATGGAGCAAAATGCTCGTATTTCCTGTGTATTTCAGGATTTTCTTTCCTTTTTTCTCCACTGGCGGTCCACCTCCCACCCCTACTTATTTAGAGTATAATTACCCCATAAATTCCTCCTGAATTTTGCCTTCAAGGGCTATAATAAAAAATGGAATGAATTGATTTTCAGATGGGAGCATTTGAATGAATTTAGCAAAATGTCATCAATTCCGTTTCAAAGGTATGGATCGGAATCAGACTTGTGTGACTCTAGCACATGGATGCGAAAGTGTTGCTATGGAGGCTGGGACCATCTGTCACCTGTCGTCCCGTTGGTCATCGATTTGCTCGAGCGGGCGCCAGCAACGTCTCCATTCGTCCCTGTCGCGTGCAAGAGTGGTCCAGTGGATCCCTCCTCGCTCGAGGGACACGAAGTCCTTCATTCCTTTCGTTCAGAGCTTTCGTGAAGAAGTCTGACCATCGGGCCGGCGGTCGTCCAGGTGTTCGCTTTGACGCCCCAATGGACCCAGTCGGTAACGCTCTGGTGCAACGGTACTTAAGGCGATACGAGAGCGCCCCTGATCTCCAATAGTTGACGCACTTCGGACTTCCACATTTCCCTTTGCACTTGCGTGTATAGGGTTACTCCTAGCATCGTCCTCTCGACAGCGCGTTGGATAACGCTGACCGCATGCTCGTCCTGCCTGCGCAGAGTCCAAGTCTCTGAGGCGTAGGTTAGGGCAGGAAGGACAGCGGAATCGAAGAGGTGGGCACGGAGCCGGATGTTCTTCGTCTTCTTCACTACTCCCTCGATGTTCTTAAACGCTCCCCAAGCCGCTCGTTTCCTCCTGCTCAGCTCTGGAGCTAGATCGTTCATCATATTGATTTCCCGACCTAGGTACACGTAGCTGGAGCATTCGGTGATTCCGTTGAGCGTGAATGGGGCATCAGGAACCAATCCGTTTCTCATAAACATCGTCTTCGTTAGGTTCAGCTGTAGACCGACCTTACCACAGGCGCAGTCGAAATCAGCCAGCATTCGCTCCGCTTGCTCGATGTTCGGCGTTATAAGAACGATGTCGTCAGCAAAACGAAGGTGGTGTAGTTGCCGGCCGTCGACCTTCACTCCATGTCTTCCCATCCCAATTGACGCATACTGGTTTCGAGAGCGGCGCTGAAGGGTTTTGAGCGAGGCGATGCTGAAGAGTTTGGGCGAGGTAGCGTCACCCTGTCGAACCCTCTTTCACGTCGATGATCCCCTTGTAGAATGGTGAGATTCTGGTCGTAAAGTTGCTGTAGAGCTCACGAAGAATCTTGATGTACTGAGTAGGGAACGCCCTGGTTGCCCAAGGCTTCAATGACTGTTTTGGTCTCCACGGAGTCGAACGCCTTCTTCAAGTCGATGAGCGTAAAACAAAGCATTGACTTGGTTTTGTTTGTTATCTGCAGTGTTTGGCCGCAGTTTGTCCTCCATGGCTTTTGAAAATACGCCTTGGTGGGCCGAGCAATTCAGGACGACCTGGTGACCGCTTTTGCCACGGTTCTCTCAATTTGGCAAGCGGCTCGCTTCCTGATCTGATGCTGTTGACTTATTGATCAGTGATGACCATCTACCGGCTCATCTCAAGACAACACTTGGACATCTAGTGGACATTTCGAAAGGCATCAACGAGCTTCTAGCCAGGAGTCGTGAGTTAGAAAGTCAGCTGGAAAATGAGATCCTGTAAAATAACAGACCTAGAAAAGAGGTTGAGAGATTGAAGGATGCTCTTAATAAGAATAGTGACCCTGTATCTTCTGAAAATACTCGCGCTAATTCCCCTTTACGGACTGTTGTGACAAGGAGCGCTGTAGAACCGTTGTTGTCGGTGATATTTGTGAGTCTTCTGAAGATAGCTTGTCAATCGAGTTCTTCATGATGTATTGCGATAAAACCTTTTTTCATTTCCTCTAATTCGAATGTAGCCCTGTCCCAATGTGTCGTTCGGGGAAGCCGAGATAAGTTTCGATAAGGTAAGATAAGAAGATGAGTTTCCCAGCCTCGAGGGAATGCGCCTTGATCAGAATTAATAATCAATGAACAACCCAAAGCGGCTGTGAAAACAACCAGCCGATCAGTATAAAACACTAAAGTAGCAGTAGAACGATGCGAATAACAGTCGACACCATTAGCAGTGACATAGTCGGCAGACTAGTTGACTTGAGCAGAATACTGAACAAGTGAAAAGCAATGCAAAAACTCCGATTAGAATAATAGCAGGGAGCCGAGATGTCTGCCGCCGCACTAGGCCGCGATCTAACGCGAATGGGATCGTGGTTGGATTTTGAGAAGGTTTTCAATATTTAAAACTTCATAACTCTCATGGTCAACATTTTGTAGATGTTCAAAGCTAATTGAAAACCAGAAGGTTAGCGCGTACAAATTAGTGTTGAAACATTTATAAAAATTACTCTTTGAAAAAATGTCTATTGTTCCGTCTTTCCCCGGT